AGCCCCTTAGTGAACAAAGTGCCATATATATTGCTGAAGGAGTCACATGAAAGCTTACGCAGATTTAACATTCAGCTAAGAGAATTAAGGATATTACAGTAAGGGGGGCAGGGCAGTAGCTGCTCTAATGAACCAACTCCTCTCCTAATGCACAGCTTGGTTTTCTAAATCCAGGATATATACGTTCTTCCCACATCCAGGATTCAACAAACACCAACGCGGGGCTGGCCGCACACCTACGGAGCTGCCCTCTTAAGCAGAAGCAGCAGATGAGAAAATGCAATTTCACAAGGGAAAAAGCAAGTGTCGGATGCTGTACAGCTGTCCTTTAAAGACGTTCGGAGATGTGTAAGAGACGTTATTTCTCTGAAAGCCCTGCAAAGGAACAAGGAGCTCTGAGCCCCCACACAGCTAAGAAGGCTGGGGAGTCTCCTCGGTTTGGAGCAGGAGCAGCCTGCGATGCCGCCGGGGTTAACTCCGGCTCCTTTCGTGGTACCACCAGCTTGCGGCGCCAGATGCTGCTCAGCTCGCAGCTCCGGAGGTTGGCCAGCCCTTCCCTTGCTTAGCAGCAAAACCGCCACCGTTCTGCAGCACGGCCTCGCCGCCAGCGTCCCTCAGAGGCAGGCAGAACTGCCACGACAGCTCGTCGGCCGGCCAAGAGGAACGCCGGCCACGTCAAAATCAGCGCACAGGTTCACGTAGACCCTTTGGTAGGACGTGTTTTCGGCAGTTCAGAGGTGAGGCACGTTTTATGAGATAATCGGATTACTCTTTCCTTTAAAGGATTAATAGGGCTTGGGTTGGCCCCTCTTCTTTAAAAAGAAGCCATCTGGAAGCGGATCGCTCCGTGCCCTCATCAGGCTGAAACGGGCCATCTGCTCCCCGCACCAAGAGGCTGCTGCCGAACCCGGCCCGCGACCGGGCACGGCGGCAGCCGGGAGGACAAGAGAGGATCAGAGCGAGATCAGGCGCCCAGCAGAGCGGGAGGTGAAGCCATGCTTGTTACAGAGCTCAAAACAAAACACTTGAGATTCAGCTCCGGCACACAGAATGCCAGCTGGGATGATGAAAGGAATGGGAATGTTACTGGAGCTGGGACAAAGCCAATCCATTGGGGGGGGGGAACAGGCATCAAACTGGCTTTAGCTCATGCTGTCGCAGGTTAGGTGAGCCGTGGCGAGAGACAGCACCCGTGGAAAAGAGTTCTCATCACGGTCACGCAGCTCAGGCGTACGGGGAGGGCGCTGGACGCCTGGTCCCACTGCAGAGAAGGGCTCGCTGCCGCTCACGCCTGCAGCTCGCTGCAAACGCGACCACCAAACCCGCTGCGGCACCAGCCGCCCTCCCGCCACCAGTTAGGAACTTGCTCCCTGCCTCGGCTGAGCTGGGACTCCCCGTGCTCGGGGTCTCCGAGGGCCTCCAGGTACAACCGGGCACCGCAGATGTGTCCTAACCCCAACCCTACCCCTGTTCCACCCGGGAGCGGCAGGCACGCCTGTGGCCCGTCCCCTTCCAGCTGGAGCTCTGCACAACTCCGCCATCGCTGCACAACCGGGGCAGCACGATGCTGATCCGGGGAGCAACTGTCCAAACCGCGCTGGTAGGGGACGGCGGAGGCCGAGCCAGGCAGCCGGCACAGCTACGTTAGCCAGACGAGGTGGGACCAGACCAGATAAAGCAGGCAGACGAGACATGGCCTGCCGATAAGGCAGAGCGTGTTCGGACACGGGCATCCTACCCCCGATGTCCCCACCAGCGAGGCACAGGAGCCATGAAACAGGGAATCCAGTGGTGCTTCGGGTAGAAGGAAGCCGGCTCTCCACCACCATCCCATCAGCCGGTGCGGTAACACGGACCAGCCGGAGGGGCCTCCGGACCCCTGCTCCCACCCCGCAGCCGCAGGGCCCCGGGGCTGAGCTGGCAGCCCCCGCACAAGCAAAGAGCCACCGCGGTGCCGGCCAGAGCCACCGCACCCGGGCCGAGGCGGGCAGCCTGCACCAGAACGGCAGCCGTGGCACGTGCGGTCGCAGGGCGGAGCGGGATGCCGGGAAGGACACCCGAGGAACACTGCTCCCGCTGCTCTCCCAGGCTCCAAACACCCGCAGCTCAAGGACTCCCCGAGCCAAATATAATTCACGTGCACTTTGTATTTCGTAAGATTTAACTTTAGGGAACCTGCCCAGCCTTCCTCTGCATCCCTGGAAGTCCTTACCACCCCCAGCATCCCGGGGCAAGAGTGCCCCAGCTCCGTCACTCGTGGGATGACCAAGACGCCCTCTGCCCGCCCTCGGCCTGGGGAGGCAGCTCCCACCACGGCCCTGGCAGCGGACCCGGCCCCTCGGTCCCACTGGAAGGCGACACTGCGTGACCCAGCGCCATCCCAGGCACTTCGGCAAGAGAGGAGACAGGCTGGGTCAGTGAAACCTCGACCCCGGTGGCACGGAGGAGGTAAAGGAGCACACAACCCGTTTCGCTCCAAAAATTAGGAGAGAAACACCCTCTTACTGCTTTTCGAACAGACGTTTGGTGTCCTTCCCACCCCACCCAGTGTACCAGCAGCCTGGCCCGGGCCAGCAAACCCCTCCGGGACAGGCCAGCAGCTCCCCGCGTGCCGGGGACAGCCGGGACCACCGGCTCCTGAGCAGCCCCGGCAGCCGGCAGAGAGCCTGAGCGAGGCAGAGGCGGCAGACGCCTGCGCGAGGGACGAGGACACCCTGACACCCCGCACTGCCACGCAGCCTCGCGGCCGACGGGAAGGACCTCCGGCTTCACGCAGCCCCAGGGATGGCACAGCCGGGGTCCCTCCCACGGGGGCTGCCGCCTCGGCACCAGCACGGGCAACGCGACCGACAGCGAAGGCCAGAACAGCCACGACCTCAACAGCCAGAGACCCTACTCCGCTGCTGCCGACGAGCTCAAAGACGGCAGCAAAACCAAGGCGAACAGAGGGGGACGCTGGCTGGGAGGGTAAGGACCATCTGGCACAAAAAAGCAGCAAGCAGCAGCTTTTAATACGATTAAAGTCTATATTTAACATGCAAAGAGCTACCTTAATCTCATGAATAAGGATTTATCTGCTAATCATGTTAGTTATTTTGTGATCATACCAACTGGACTGCAATTTTCACACGCTTGTGCAAGGTCAAGAGCTGCAAAGGAGAGGGGTGAAGAGCTGACAAGTTCATCAAAGGCCGAAAACGTTAAATTCTGAGGAGACATCAGCAAAAACGTGGCGCTGGCCTGTCCCGCTGCGAAGAGTTGCGAGGTACCTGTCTGAGCCCGTCTCCACGCACCGCACGTCCGGACAGGCTCTCTGGACAGCCACTGTCGTACAACCACTTCTCTTAAAAGCGCTACGCGGCTAAAGCTCCGAGCAGACGGCGGCGTATGTACAGCAACCTGCAACCAGCCTCGCTGCCTGGAGCCCCCGGGAACGGGGACGGGAAAGCAAAGAAACACAGCGTTCAGAACCAGAATCCCCTCCACGTAAGAGAGCCGCGACAGCTGGGTGCCAGCCGGAGCCGCGCGCAGAACGGCAGCGGCAGCGGGCTGGAGGGTGGCGGAGGGGGTCAGGAGGGACGGGCCACCCCGGAACAGCTGTTCCCGGCAGCTTCTCCTTATGCTTCCGCGCTGCTTCTCGCCTCGGGGCTTTCTGGGGCCAAATGCTGCTGTTTGGATCATCTCTCCACCCAAATATCAAAACGAAGGCGGCTGGAAACAAAAGATGTGTCGAAGATACGGCACCGTGTGCGCCACGGGCTCGGAAGGTACCGCATCACTTTCCCTCTCGTGCTCGTACCGTGCCTGCTCCCAGCCCCGCGCGGCCGATTCGCTTTGCTCTTGGCAAGGGTTCCATGGCAAAAACATATTCCCCCAGCAGCCTACAGGAAATTATGATGCTTTGCCAAGACCTTTGTAGTTTTAGTTCGTTGTGGTAATAAGCGATACAAAAGATTTTTGGCTTTGGTAAGTGTTATACACAGGCTGGTTGCGGGGTGTTCTTACCTCGGGAGAAGCACGGGAAGCCGCAGCCCGAGGAGAGGACAAGTACCACGTATAAGCAAAACCGTGACTTGCCTCCAAGTCGCCAAAGCGTATTTCTCGGGTATCTTTTTCCAAACTCTTGGGGTTTGTTCTTTCGCTACGGCGGCTCCCTGTTTTACCACTGCTCAGCTGCAGATTAAAACTGCTCATGAGAAAATGCTTTATGCAGCATTGCCTTGTGTCGCTTAGAAAACCGCTATATAGTGGGCAATAACGGGCCACATAACGGCGCTGTGACAACAGACCGGGTTACCGAAGCAGCCGCAGAGCTTTAAACGCTTCCCCGTCAGACAGCAAGCGTGAGGGAGCACAGCTTACGCTTCCCGCAGCACGCAGAGCACTTAGCGTGCAGCTGGCGCTTCCAACACCCGCGGGCCGGGGAGCACACACTCGATTAAAGCGTTAGTTAAAGGAACGAGAAGGCAGAAGGCGGCGACAGCCGGAGGTTTGCCAGTCGCTCCTTCGGGTGGAAGCGGCGATACGCGCGCGGGCTCTCTGGTGTCCACGACTTACAGCGGGGCGATGCGAAAGCTTTGCGCAGACGCGTTGGGAGCGATGCTGGGCACGGCCCGTGGGTAACGCAGTAACCGGCACCCAGCGCCGACTTGAAAACCCAGCTGCGGTTAACTGGAACAGCAGAAAACCTCACAATTGAGCATAAAGAAAAAGGCAGGGCTGCCAGCCTCCCTCCAGCAGCAGCAGGGCAGCCGTGCCGCAACGCAAACTCTTCCCACCGCGCTGCGGTCTGGCTCAGAAGCCATCGCTTCTGCTGCATTCACCTCCCATCCTCTGAGCAAGCCGGGGCTGGCGAAGGGGAGCACATGCAATGAGCAAACATGCAACGGTACGATGGAGGCACAGCAGCGATGAGTGACAATGAACTGGGATGCACTGGGGGGTCTTTCATGCGGCCAGGAGACTCGGCAACACACAGATAAATGTCAAAAAAGCACCACCTTTTTAGGCTTCGCTCCACGCTGCATGAAGAGGGAATAAAAGGGTACAAAGTTAGAGCTCACATCGCATCGACAGTGGTGATAAGACGCAATCTGCTTTCTGCTCAAACATCACAGGTTTCAGAGGTAGCTATTCACGGAAGAGGACATGTCTCAGTGAAGCCATTGGGCTGCACAAATAGGTACAATCAGAAAGGAAAATATATTCAGGCAAATTTAAACAAACACAAGATGGCTTAAGAGGAGAAAGCAGACAACAGAGCTTGTTTTCAACCCTCTGATTGAGGAGCTTCACTCCAGTGTCATTGGCCCACCTTCAGCACAAAACCTTCTGAGGTGCAGGACGTACCCAAAGGAAAATAAATTCACTTACTGGTAGCCATCAGCACTTGCGAGGAAGAGTTAAGCACCGTGCTTAGCTGCGAAACCTGGAACCCCTGGGGAGGAGGATCCCACCCCAGAGCCAGCTCGCACAGCCCCGCTCCCCTCCCGCGCTCGCCCGCCTCGGGTCAGGCGCAAGAAGCTGCTGCACCCCACGATTTTCTGCCCACCTTCTCGTGGGTGCGCTTCCACCGCCCCTCGGCTCGCAAAGGCTGCGCACGACTTACAGTAACAGGACATTTTGCTTTTAAAATGCAATTCTTGATCACACCAAGGCAAAGCCCGGCATCAGCTGCTGCCCTAAGGATGATTTTTCGTGGCGGCAGGGAGTTTATGCAATCGTGCTGGGAAGAAACTGCACCGCATCCAAAGCGTGCTGGAAATTTTCTGCCGTTTCTTGCCACTCAGGGCCCCCTCCACCCATGGGGAAGAAGATCTTTTCCCCGTTTTTAGAAGTCCCGATGCCACAGCCCAGAGGAGCGGAGGTAACAGCTTCTCAGGCCCAGCCATGAAGGAGCTGGCGTTTCGATGCCGGGATCTCCCAGGATTCCCAGACACCGTTCTCGGAAGATGCAAACACAGAGCCAACACGTCCTGCCTCCGAGGCCGCCACCTCAACACCCTGCCGTCACTGGGAAGAGGAGCGAGGGGTACGCCAGCCGAGGGCGGCTAGGGACGGGCCAGCCAAACGAGGGGCGCTCCCATCTCTGTGGGATTCGCACCCAGAGCACGGCAGCCGGCCCGTGAGCCGCAGCAGCCTGCAGAAAGCCGTGCTCCCGCGCTGCCCGCAGCGGTGCCCGCAGCAGTGCCCGCAGCGGTGGCCGCAGCCTCCCACCGGGCTGCTGCCGCGGCGCTGGCCTGCAGGAGCACCTAAGGGAATCAAGAGTTCTTGGCTGATTTTCCAGTTTCAGAGAACATGATGCGGTAGCACAGAAAACACCTTTTGCAGTAGCGTTAAGTACGTATTCAGGATGGAAATCACCCAAAATACTGCACGGCAGAGGTTTTACTCTTAGAAAATAGCAGCTCTTCCTTGGACGAACAGCAACAGTGGTCACCATGTACTCAAGCCAACACACGTGGAGAAGGCCAAGGAGGATCGAGAGGACCACACCAACTGCAGCGCTCTCCCGCAGCCTCTCAAGAGGCCGCAGCTGCTTTTGTTCCCTCCTGCGGCGTGCCGCTACGCCGGCTCGAAGCCAGGCTCCTATGTCTGACCGCAGCAAGCCGGGACCCTTCGCGGCGCCAGCACGTAACCTGCAGGACTAACGCCAACCCGCCCTGCAGACCCCGCGTCCCACGGGCAGCCAGCCCGCGAGCTGCCTGTTCCCCAAAGATACCTGCTTGGGCTGAAACGCTGGGCCGGTGGCTCGAAGCGCTTTTCCCACACCTCGCCTCCGCGTTCCCGTGCGGCAGCTCCCGGGAGAGGCCGTGTAACCCAGGCAGGCAAACAGCAAAGCCCGAATTCGCCTGTCTCTAACACAGACGACAAATCTGCGTACGCCCATCACGGTGGCACCACTCGGGTCACCCCCGGGAGCCCGTCACACCGCGGACGGTATCTGAAAGGTGGCAGGGTGCTAATTTTGAACTGCGGCACTTTCCCTAATGACAAACCAGCCCGAACGCCCCGCAGCACAGCGGCACGTCAAGCAGCAGCAGCCGCTGCCCAGAACGGCACGGAGCTCCATCGACCAAAACGCTTTGCTTCCAACAGTGGCCAGCACCAAATTCTCAACTTCTTACACAGGAAAAAAAAAACTGCGAGGCTTACGGACAGAAGGTACCATCAGGTATTTAATCTGGGGTTTCTTAACCGTGCTGGCCGCAAGCCCTTTCAGTTCAGCTCCTTCCCTGACACCTTCTCAGGATGCGAGCAGCATAAAGAATTTAAAGAACAATTACTACTTTAGCATCCTGATTTCATGAACACTAAGATTCTTTTCACTTCATAAATATTATATTTATCTTTCGTTACAAATGTTCTGAAACAATTTTAAAGTTTTTCTTCCAACTCTTCAAGACTCCCTCTCGCAGCCTTTATTTTGCAGAGGGCAGTCTGGCCTGACCTCCTTTACAAGTTCAGTTCCACCTAGCAACTCGCCTGTTAATTGCAGCCTATAATTAAACCAGGAGACTAAATGTTACGCAGCGCAGGCAGAGGACACGAGGGGAAAAGACGCCCCCAGCGCAGGAGGCCCTGCAATGCAGAAGGCCGATCAGACCAGACAGGCTGGCAGGTAAGTCGTGCCCCACTCAGCAGAAAAGGGCAATCGCTGCAAAATCCTCCACATCTCTCTAATACGAGATGGGGATTTCTTCTCCACCCTCTGCCCTGGCAGGCAGCTCAACAAGGCACAGCCTCCCGGGCACCTGAGCCCGATTAACCCCCCGGAGCACCTCAACGTGCCGCTCCGTCACCCACGTCCAGCTGCGGCCGGCCCCCGACGGTGCCAGGCTGGCCAGGACCCAGCGCACGGCTCCGCATCGCGGCGGGGAAGCCCTCCCGCTCCGGGCGACTCGCTGAACTTCAGAGCAGGAGACCGGGCAGAACCGCAGGCGTCAGGCACACAAGAGGGCAAGGCGGAGAAGCCCCTCATCTCCAGATAAGCTGCTGTCCTTCCCTGTCGTCTGCCTACGCGCCAGATGGACCGGCCTGTCCCTGGGAAACACCCAGCTTCTGTCCCAGAGCACGCACAACCCAGACTCACTCTGTCGCCCTGCACCACCCCAGATTCCTCAGGATCTATACACATGCACGGCCATTTTTGTGTTTTTAACCTTAATACTTCTTTAATTGTGCTTGCCTGGGGGTCAGGAGTATTTGAAGAGCAGCACCTGCTCCAGTCGTCTGTTACTTAGGAAATACCCACCACCTCTGGATACAACACGTACCCAGCTATGCCTCGAGGGCCATCGAGATTCCTGGATAAAGATACTCAGAAGCAGACACCGTTTCTCTGTAATCCACTCGGTACAAGCCAGAGAAAGCTAATTTCAGCTATCCCGAGCAGTACGCTCTT